AGGAGGTGCTAGGCTAGTATTGCTAGATATCTTAATAGTATAATATTACTTAGTTATTTAATATAGTATGTTTTAAATAAGAGCTATTAATATATAATAGAATAAGTTTTAAATAGGTAAACTAGTCTATATTAGGTTTAATATTTATAGAGTTATAAGGCGTTATATTAAGTAGTTATAAAGTATTATATCTCTTAATAGTAAATAAAGTAGGTTAGGCATATTTAGGTAAAGAAGTCTTATTAATAGCTAGTAGGCTAAGTTCTATAAAAGTGCTAATAAATATAGTTTATATATTAGTAAATAATAATAGTAATTAGTAAGGTTATTGCAGGATTAGTAGTAATTATATTAGATTAGTACTGATTATAATGGATTATTTATAATCTTAAAGCCTTGGCGCTAATCCCTTTTAGCGTAGGTGTAATGATTGGTGGAAAATGTAGGGTACACGTAATGGAACTGCTGGGGTCGTAATATTTTTTCCCTTATTTATATTAATAATATATTAATATTATAGCTAATTTACTTATTTAATTATATAGCCTATCTTATAATTTATTTAATCTTTTTTATTATTATTAATATTAAATTTATAACTTTAGGTCTTTAACTTTAAGTAACTTAAACTTATATAAAACTTAATATATTTTTCCTTTAAACCCTATAATTACCCCGCTTTTATTTATATTATAATATAATATCCCCCTATCTTAATTACGCTCTTATAACTTAATACTATAATTAGCCTAATCTTTATAAATTCTTAGTCTTCTCTAGTACCTCCTTAGCCTATTACTAGATATTCTTAAGCTACTTATTATATAAGCCGCCTAGGTTAAGGGCCCTAAGGAAACCCCTCTCTCTCTTACTTAGTTATATCTCTTTATATAACTTCCTTTTTAAATTCTTAAGCTTTTACTTCTTATATTTAAAAAAGCCTTTATTAATTAAAAAGTTTTTATAAATAAACTATATAAATAAGAAAATCTTATAATTAAAAATTATTAATTTAATATAATTAATATTTTTTTTTAAATTAAGCTTTTTAATATTTATAATTATTATATATAATATATTACTTTTATTTTACTTAAAAGCTTTTTTAATTTTAAAAATTATATTATAGCCTTTAATTAAATAAGGCTTATTAGGCCTAAATACTTATAGGCTTTTTTAAATAATAAGTATTATAATAAGGTAGTTATAATACTATTAGTAATTATAGCTAAAAGAGAGAAAGTTAAGTTAAATAACTTATTATATAATAAATAATTAAAGCATAGTATGTTATAGGGGTTAATAAAAGACCTTTAAAGTAAATTAAAGGAAGAAGGTTAAGGCTAGCTAATAGGCAGGTAAGGCTTTTTAGCTAGTATATATATAGCTAGGTTTAGGCTATAATTAAAATAATTAATTATAATAATTTAATTTAATAAAGCTTTACTAGCTATATAGGTAATAAATATTTAAATTATATTAAACTTTAAAGATACTTAGATATATCTTTTAAGGCTAACTTATAAACTTAAAAAAAAAAAGAAAATACTTTTTTAAATTTAAAATATCTTTCTTTTTTAAATAATAGTAATTTAAGGTTTTACTTTATAAAATAAATTTTAAATATAATTATTTATAATAAATTAAAACTATTTAATTATAGTTTTAATTAATTTTTTTATTATATATATAACTTTTATAAAATTATAATAAAATTAATTTAAGTAATATATAATAAATACTTTACTTTATATAAGGAATATAAGTAACTTATTAAGGGTTTTATTAAAAGGCTTAAGCAAATTAGGCTTAAGGATTCTTTTAAAATTCTTTTTAATATTTATTATTAAGAATATATTATATATTTCTTATTAAGTATATATAATACTTTAATTTTATTATTATTATATAATTAAAAATTTAATTAATATTTAATATATTTTATTTATTTTATTACTAATATTTCTAAGCTTTTTATAAAGGTATTTAATCTTTAAGTTAATAAAGCTTTAAGATAAGTTATTTATATTATCTATTTCCTAATTAATTAGTAGTCTATTAGCTACTATTAGTAAAATAAATATAAAGTAAGTAAGTATTATAACTTATTACCTTTAAGGGTTAGTAGTTATATTTTACTATTAAATAGGGTTAATAATAGCAGATATTATATCTAGTATTACTTAGTATTATATAATATAATTTAAATAAAAGCTATTAATATATAATAATTAGGTTTAATTATATTAAGTTAAGCTGTATTAGGTTTATTATTTGTAAATAGTATAAGGCATTTATTAAGTATTATTATAATATTATATTTCTTAATAATAGATTTAATATACATTTAGCTTAATTAATATAAAAAAGTTATATTAATAGCTAGTAAGTTAAGTTTTATAAAAATATTAACAAATATTAATTATATATTTATAATAACTTATAATAATAAGTTAATACTTATATATAAGCTATAAGTCTAATTATAAGTCTTATTAAATAGCTTATAATAGAAATAAAAAGAAAGTATAAGTTATTAATTAATTAACGGAAATTTATAAAATATATATAATATAGCTATAAGGATTTTAATACCTAATTTAAGGTTTTTAATAAATTTATTATTACTTACCTTTATAGGCCTTTTTATTATAAGAAATTACTTTAGCTTTTATTATTATAACCTTAGTAATTATATTATATATACTTTAAAGGTAAAGAGCAATAATAAAAAAAAGACTATATAAGACAATATCTTCTAATACCCTTAACTATAAGCTAAGTATAGACTGCTAGTTAGGTTTAATTAAGATAGGATTTTTATTATAAGATAGAGAATTAAATAATTAGTTTAATAATATTAGATATGAAGGGAAAAGAGTATAAAATTATATATAAAAAAGCATAAAAAGCTAAAGCTTTTAAGGGAATTTATTCCTTTATATTTATTATTATAAATATTTATTTAACCTTATTAATAAAGCTTAGACCTCTTACCTAGAATGCTTGCTATAACTATTATAATACTTTATATTTTTATAAATTCTTATAAATACTTAATAATTACCTTAAGTATATAAAGTGTATAAATTAATACTTTTATAAATCTTTACTTATTAGCTTTTAATAAAACTTTCTTATATTAATAAGCCTAAAATAGATTACTTAATTATTAAAAAATATAACCTTTTATACTTACTTAGCCTTTACCTTATAAATCTATTTATTTTCTTTTTTTCCCTTACCTTTAGCTTTATATAAGGCTATTAAGCTTTTTAACTTTTTTATTAATAGTTTAAATAGCAAGACCCCTATAATAGGCTGTTATTATAAAAGTTAGAATTAGATAAGGTTTATCTGCCTTAATAATATAATTACTGCCTTAATTAAGTAGTATTAATACTAATTATATCTTAATAGCTAAATTAACCTTCTTTCTTTAACTTATTTAAAGGACTATACTTTAATTATCCTTTATAATATATTATACCTAATTTATTTATTATACTTAAGTATATTATCTAATCTAATATTTACTTTTAACCCTTCTTGCTAATAACATAATAGCTATATTGCCTTAATGCCTGCTATATAAAATAGCCTATAGCTATATAATTATATCTACTATATAACTTACTATAATCTTAATCTAGCTATTAGGCCTGCCTTAAAGATAGCTAATAAAGAAGAACTTTATATAATATATATAATAATTACTACTATTATAAAGAACTTTTTATTAAAAGGTAAATCTAACCTTATTAAGGTAGTGATTTTTAATTATAGCTTAATTTAATTAATTAATTATATAAAAAAGAGGTATTATATTAATTTAATTAATTTAAATTAGGTTAATAATAAGCTATTAAGTCTTAAAGACTTAGAAATAGCCCTAAGAAAAGGTTATCCTCTTTAGTTAACTAAGATAGCTTTCCTTATTACCTTTATAAGCCTAAACTTAGCTATATATAAAGAGTAGCTCCTTAGTATATCTGTAAGGGTAGCCGATATTGCCGGAGAGCTGCTCTTAAATTAGTAACAGCCTGGCTATAGTTTTAGACTATAAGAGCATAGCTAGAACAGGGAGTCTGTATATAGAGTTAGATAAACGTAAGGTAAAGGCAGGGTTTAGAAATTCTATTAAAGTTAAAATAAACTAAAGGAATTATATTAAGTTTACTTTATATAAGTTAGTTAATAAAAGTTAAATTAACTTAAAGTTATAACTTAATTAATTAAATATATATAATAAGGCATATAACTAATTAACTTTATATATAAAAATAAATAAAGTAAAATTAGTAAAAAAGTAATAGTTTAAACTAGGGATAAATCTATTTATATAAACCTAATATAAATTAGTTTATTTTTATAAAAACTTATAATTATTATATATTAATAGCTCTTATTTAATTTTTATATTATATAAACTAAGTAATACTTTTATATTATTTAAATATTTAATAATATTAATACTAAATCTATGCCTTTTTATAAAAAACTATAATAAAATATTATAAAAATAATAACTAAAGTATAATAGCTTTATAGTACTATTTATAACCTATAGGCTTAGGAAAATATATATACTAATATATTAATAAAAAGTAATAAATAAGACTTAGGAGAAGTACTTAAGCACCCTAAGCTAAAACCTTTTAGAAACTAATCTATTAATATAATCTTATTCTTAACTTTAATACAAGTTTACTTTTACTTATTTTTCTTTTTTTCCACTACTTTCAACCTTGTAAGAGGCCATCCAGCTTTTTAGCTTTTTTATCAATGCCCATCGCGGTTGGTGCGAACCTCTGAACCTAGCCCATTTCGCACTTCTCGACCTATACAACGAGGATAAGGAGTTTTCTATTCGAGAGGACTTTCCGTTCGCAGAATTCACTACGAAATGGAATCATTCCAAAGCTTCATCTTATATAAAACAACTTCGAGGTAGCTGTGGAGGTTTTATTGAGTCACTTGAGGTGCCTGGAGAACCTGACATGAGAATTACTTTCGACTTCTCATATCGATCTATCCCAGATATGCTACGAAAGGGAGACATCAAAGAAGAAATGGAGAATATACTAGGAAGCTTTAACTCCCTTGAGGCTTACTCGCACTTGCTATTCGCAGAGATGAAACTTCTGGGCCTTGGTCACCGTGACAATTATTTTATCTGTGCAAGCGTGGCTTCTATGCGTCTGCAGAGCCAGATTGACAAACCACCATATCGATTTCTGGAAGCCATGGATTCTTGGGTTGGCTTCTCTATCGAAAAGCCCAGTATCCGCTCCCATCTCTCGATACATCTCTATCACTTCGTAATGTCATATGAACGCCTTGGCTGATTGAACATGCCGAATCTTCCATAGAACGTTCATCAAGAAAGGTCATACGACGTGTGGAGTATGCTATACTTGGCGATAGTAGCAGGCCATTTCGAATATGCAAAATGGAAGATCGAGAATTTCCCGTCGGTTCTGGACAGTGCTTTCAAGAAGAACCTATTTGTGGGCCTTGTTATAGGGCCTCCTCACATCTCAGGAGCCTCTTTAAAAGATATCGATTATTTCTTCGAGAAAGGACTTTTGACCGAACAGTGCGATAATGACCTCAGCGCGATCGTCTATATTAGGAATCTAAAAAGCTTTACCAGGCAGAACCACACCTCTTGGCAAAGATATCTATCATTCAAATTTTTGCTTTGCTGTGGTCTCAAAGCTCTCGTCGGAAGTGAGACGGACTTCAACGCGGATCGATTCTCGCACATTGTTATGAGGTCTCTCGAGCATGGGGCGTCTGTTGACTTTTCAGTTACTATTGACAACTATCTGAAGCCTCCTGACGAGATTGAGTTTTATTTTGAGAATATGGAGACACTACAATTCCAACCTGAAAAGGTACGCGACAGTACTTTTGAGAAGGTGGATGCATGGTTGGAACCTGAAGGGCGAAAGAAAGTCACACTTCGACAATGGATTGAATCCATAGATTTGAAGGATAAGAGTTACATAATCCATCTGTTGGATCGTGCTGATGATTCAAGAGAAACTCCGAGGGGGGATACTAAGGAGGTCACTCCTGAGCATTCACTAGATGAGCTCGGCGAGTTTGGCGCTGCATCAGATGTAATAACATCTCAGAATTATAATGAGGTTCACGAGTCGCCATTTTTCTCAATAGCCTCACAGCAAGATATGAAGATTTTGGCTCAACGGCTTAGACATTTGTCAGGCAAGTTCAAAAAACTGTCTATTGCTGTCGAGACATAAAGCTAATTCCATCTAGTCACTATTCTATTTCTTGCAGTATTAATAGCTTGGATTATTGGGATGAAAGGATATATCTAAATATACATTAGGGCGCTTCATAACGGAACTATAACCGTTTGGTCTGAGACCGAAGTCGCATAGGATGTAACGCTTTAACCTTTCCTCGGGTTTCTATCTCTTCGTCTTCCACCATCTGATCAAACATTACTCGATCCGCTATCTTTGACTCGAGGGCTGCGCGCTGATTCAATGAGTTCAATGAGTCTAAAAGGGCATGAGGCTCTGTCCATGACGAGCCAAAGTCCACCAATTTTCCATCGCGAAAATTATCAATCCGGATGTCCATGTTGTATATCCCTGCTTTATTCATCGATATAACCCTACTTAGGATGTTTCTGATGTTTTTAGAGCTGACACCACTATCTGAAGATGCGATATCTTTCACAATGGCTCTGGCTCTTAATCCCCCGATGGTAGATTTCTGGTAATCCAGATCTATATCGTCCAGTCCGAGATCAATATCGAGACTTGTCAACGCGTCTTGATCATGGGGTCTTAGGAAAAGAAATCCATGACATGGAATAGCGACATCCGCCTTTAGGACTCTCTGTTTTATAGCCTCGCGAATACGGCCGTACGCTCGACATTCTGCGTAAAATGGATCGGTATAGTACGCAGCTGTATCTAGAGGAGTATCTTTGCCTAGCGCTGGCCCCCAAAAGTACTCTTCGCTCATCGGATCGAAGAATTTGAACTGGCAAAGAAATCACTTGTAAGCCATGAAAGCTCCAAAGACAAAATAAGGAGACGGTAGTAAAATAAAGGCATTAGTTAATACGTACGACTTTAACTGCGTACTCGTGACCGCGAATACGAGCGCGGAAAACGTAGCCTTGACTTGATGTGACATCTTCATCCTCATTATCGAGTCTCTCCAGCCATTGAATTCGCGATTCATGATGCTGAAACACGTTGAGCTTTGGTCCCTCGCATGGCGGTAACTCCGAAATAGCTGACTGTGAGCTTTTTCTTCTCGACATGTTGGAGAAATAAGAATAAAGATCAAAAGGGATTTGTCGGGAACCTTGACACAGGATCGGCCCCGGCCCGTGGGGCTCCTTATAGCTAGCCATATCACTTGCATACGCCTCGGGCCGTCCTTAGCGCCAGGTCAGCTGTGATGGGCTCTTTGTACGTGTCATGGGGGGGTCACGAGGCCAGCTGGTAGCCAACAGGGATTGCAGTAATGCAAGGATATCACCAACATCGATTGAATGCATATGCGGTCTTCAGCCGTAAGTTGGGGGCGGATGGGATGAAATAGTGAAGAAAATGAGAGCCTGATTGAGCTTCTGGCCTCTATAAAAAGTCGGATGTATCCCTTGGAAAGGTATTGGAGACCGTGGTCTAATTATAAATATTTTTCATTGTTACATTCCAATTGCTGTGCCTGCCTGAGCTACCTCACATAACGTTCGTATCCCTATTTGTCTCACATTAAAATGCCGCAATCACCCCCTGCCACGTCAATTCTCGAGCTGCTCACTCACCCAAATCCGTCCGTGCACCATGAGAAGCCCAGAAGCAAGACAAATACTCATAGCGCTAAATATCATTTCCCTCAACAAATCAGAAAATGGGAAGAATTTGAGAATGTAAATATTCTTAGGGCTATGTTTGGGGGCAGTTTGCTACGAGAGGCATCTCAGGGCAACCGGGACTTGAATCCTTATCCGATCTTAGATCCTGATGCAGACTGCAGGATATCTGCTGAGGATGATACTCGAGACCTAATCAACAGCTGGAACAAGAAAATTGTCACTTCTGCCCTCAAACCTATTCAACACATCTTCCATCCAGTCATTTGGAGCAAAGGCGATTCCCCGAAGCACAAAGAGAAACACCCACTTCCTCCTCGACGGCAGGAGCAACGCCGTCATCAGCCATCTCGCGGTTGCTCTTTGAAAGCAAGACAGCCAAGATCACAATCACTGTCAAGGCTGCAGCCGGATTCTGGATCTATTGCATGGAGCCCGCCCACAGTCAAGAGCGACAGCAGAAGTGCTGCCCATCGCCAAGAGAGGTTTGTTAAAGAGTACAAACCAGCATCTAAATGGAATAGTGAAAGTTTCTTCAAAGACGGACTCTTGGACGAATCTGGGACCTTTATCAGAATCACTAGGAACTTAGCCTGGCCCATTAGACAAGCTTACACTTATTGCATCCAACACATGTGCCGCTATGGCTGCATCTTGACTTGCGAAGAAGCTTTCATATTTCGCATCATGCCCCGAGAGGATACGCGCGGTGAGTGCAACCCGTTCAATTTGTCCTTCATTTACTTATGGGGATAGGAAATGATGCAAAAGACGAAGTGTCTTTAAAAAACGAGCTTATCCGCAATGGATTGATGGAGTACGTCTCCATTCCTTGGGAAAATCATAGTAGACGGGGCAGAGAAGAGCCTGATGTATGGACCGTCAACTTGGCTCTATGGTTTGTTCACATTCTGGCAGGAAACAATTTTGAGGCGAGTTGGAGCTATGTTGGCCTGGCTGATGAAGTCTTGATTCTCTCTCAGCCAGCTGAGGGTTGTGACGGATCGACATTGGCTTCTTTGACTTCGGCAGAGAATCCTGAAGACGAACAAGGTCAAGAATCTGACGCATCCGATTCTACGGAAGATTCGGACACCACCAACGTCCGTACTCCTTCCAAACCAAAGCGCAAAAGGGAAAGTGACGAGGAAGACGAAGAGGAAAGAATTCATGATTCATTCTCAAAGCGCCAGAATATATAGATTGGTGACAAGAATGTTTATAAGCGCACTTGCAACGTATGACTAGAATGCATAACAGAGAAACGTTCTCAATATACAGGGGTTTACATTCGAGACGAGCAACCTGAAGTTCTTAGGCCTTTCGTAGATAACAGCGAATGATTCTTATTAAATTTGAAAATTTGAAAATCGCTTGTGAATGACTATACCAAACGGCTGCTTACGGAGCTATCCGATCGAATTCCTGCGTTTCTTGCAATCTCCAGGTCTCTACTGAGTTTATTGGCGGCTCTTGGAAGTACGACAAACTGATGGAGATTCTCTCTTGGGATGTTTCGCAAGCCAGCACTGAACAGCTCAAAGCATCTTCTTAGTCTTGGGTATCAGTAAATCAAGTTATCGACTTCAGCTCCCCCACGCAGTGCGTCGAGGAAGAGCACTCTATTCCACTAGCAACGCTCATGTCGATTGATGTACAAGGCAAAGGAGATGTTTCACGGTTGGCCAACACTTGTTGATAGAATGTCTTTCTATACTCAGTAACCTGTTACATGTCCTATTTGATCCACTTCACATTGCATCTGACGATGATCATAGGGCCTTTTGGTCTTGGCAGCCAACAACCAACGGGATGTTACATCAGGGCAATTAAACAATGGTAGTAGACTCCACTATGGCGAAGATCAAGCTCGGTTATAGCTTCTCTTTATCCGGCTTGGCGTGCTTGGCCCTTCTTTTATAATTTTATTCTATGCGGTTAGTTTAACTGCTCTAGTAAAGTGCCGTGACTAACACCTGGTTCGGCTGCGGCAAAATGATAGTTCACGACATTCTTCTTCTATAAAGGGTACCACAGTCTCCCCTTGAATTGAATGTACTGGCGATTATTTTAAGTCTATTCCTTTATTTTTAGAAGCCCTGAACTTCTGTCATGCAGTTATCGGGCAAACAAAATCCACTATGCTTTTCTTTTCATTCCTTTTTGCCTGCCGCTTCTCTTTAAGTGCAAATAGGTTTATTATTAGCAGATTATATATAATATATATTATATCCTTTAATAATATAATTAATATATAGTAAACTTAAATAATATAAAGAAGTTATATTAATAACTAATAAATTAAGTTAAATAAAAGTATTAATATATTTATCTTATATATTAAAAGTAATTATAAAGTAAGTATTAAGATTGCCTAATAATCCTAGGGATTATTAATAATTTTAATAATGTCTATTATAATTAAATCTTAATAATTATAAATTAAAATTTATAAGTTAAAATAAGTATATATAATTAAAGAAAATTATAAAATATATATATATATAACGTACGCGATAAGCGAGCGAGACAGACAAGCGAGCGAGACAAGAATCTCAACCTTCTTAAGATAAATCATAATAAAAACACAACAGACCATCTGATCAATTAAAATCACTCACTATACCCTTCTCCAGATACCTCTGGAACTACCTGACAGGTCCTTGCATTATGCCCGGTCTTGCCGCATATACCACAACGCCGAACACCCGGTCCAACCGACCTTCCTCGACCACCACTTCTTAATAATTCGGCCAATACCTGCATACTCATATCCATCTAATTAATTAAATCCTGACCTTCCTATATAAGCAGACTCCCTCTATTCTGTAGGCGTATCTTCTTTGCCCTACGCCGCCGGCTAAGCATATTATTTGCCTCACAAAGCTCCCGGTTCTTAGCCTCTAATAAGGCAGTCTTCTATATATTCCTTATAACTGCCTTTATAAGAGACTAAAGAGCTTTAAGGATTAACTCTAGAGAGCTACTATGATGTCTTCTGATTTAATTACTAAGGTATTTAGACTGTAATCTAGCCTTGAGGACTGTATTTGGGGTCTTTGAAGTCCAAGCTTGAGCTTGTTGGGCCACCTCTTCAACAGGCGTTAGAGTCCGTAGCTGCACATCAAGCTTTAAGATCACAACTTCCGGGTCAAAAGGAGCAAGTCCGGCTCCTCTAAAACCCCCCTTGATATTTGACTCGGTTATAGTTAATCGAAAGGCAGCATAAAAGGCCAGGAAGAACTTAGTCTTAGAAATATAAGTTATAGACCATCTGATTAGTCGCTCTATTTCTCGCCTATATGCCTTTTTCAGTGGCCTAAAGCACCTAACATTAAGTGGCTATAATAGGTATAAAGAATAAGGAGGCATATAGAGTATAATAATATTATTAACCTCATAATATAGCTAGAAATCGATAGATTGATGACTTTTATGGCCATTGAGGATTAGAAGACGATAGGCACTAACTAATCGGATAATTATATATTAATTAAAGTGCTTTAGCTAGTTAAGACCTGTCTTATTATCTATCCAGCCATTTAGTATTGTGGTGATAGCCTAAGTGCCCGGGAGGTTACTCTCTTAGTACTAATTAGTAAGGTAATATTAACCTGCAACTACTAGATATAAATCAATCGCTCGGCCTTCTGCATTAATTACTTAAATCGCAGTAACCTATTCCTGGTTTCTAGGCTAGACTAACTTAGGGTTTCTATACCTTTCTAAGCTAGTAATAACTTTACTGCTTAATATTATACCAATTATAAAGCCAGTCTTATTAAAGTTCTAGATATTATCTAATTAGATATTATATTTCGCAATTATGTTTTCTATAAGCCTAAACTAATTGCAAATAATTATAAGATCTTTATATTTAGCCCTCTAATAGTTATATTTATAAAAAGAACGTATCTTAAGGTCTAGTTACTGCTTAATAAAATTAATAGCCTAGCGCTTACTAACTAGTAATGCATCGCGCTTAGTAAGCAGTCGATTTGCCATTTCTTCAATATTACAATGCCGAGAGGGAAATCCTCGCAAATCCAGATTCAGAATATACTCGACTATAAGCTATTCCTCCTAATCACTTAGTTTCCGACCATTTGGAATACAATCAGCGCGAGCCTGCCGACCCTAAGATCAGTAGTAGAGGGTCTGGAAGTGGATATCATAGAGAAATGCAGCTTATCGCAGACTTAATTTTAGGTCTGCCTGATAGGCCTTAAGTGCAAGAATAATACGAGCCTTAGTAGTAGATTGCAATATGTTATTTGGTTGAGAATCAATTGATTAGATAGTGTTAATGTAAGGTAAGGGATTTTTGTCTCGCTCGCTTGTCTGTCTCGCTTGCTTATTGCGTATGTTATTTTAAGTTTATAAATTAGCCTTAAAAGGTATACTTAAATATTTCTAAAATCTAATATATTTTAAATATTTATTACCTTTATAGCTAGTAAAGCTTTATTAAGTTAAATTATTATAATTAGCTGCCTTAATTATAACTTAAACCTAGCTATATATATACTAGCTAAAAAGCCTTACCTGCTTATTAGCTAGCCCCGACCTTCTTCCTATAACCTACCTAAAAGGATACCACGCTTCAATCATCTATCACGCAGTAAGTCATCCAACCCGACTTTCCCTCTTCTAACCACAACCGCTAACACCATCACCGCTGCACTATTACGATATTCTAAAAAAGCCTGTAGCTACTTAATAAGGCCTTTTATACCAAAATGCCTAACTTAATCTCTTATTTTATAATAGCTCTTAAAGATTATAAATATAAATATAAGCTTTATATTATAATAATAAAAATTAAAAAGGCTTAAAATACAAATAATAATATTACTTTTATTAAGTAAGTTATTTTAAGTTATAAGGTCTTTTTATTTATATATTATTATTATAAAAAGCTAATAATTTTTAAAGGCTATTTTAAAAAGAAAATTAAATTATTATAAAAGCTAAAGTAATTCTTTATAATAAAAAGGCTTATAAATATAAGTAATATAGGATTTATTAAAGATTTTAAATTAAAGACTTTAATTAAAAACCTATATAAATAATAGCTTAATAATATAAAGAAATAGTTAATAAAGCTAATAAAGGCTATAAAGCTAATTAATAGCTAGTAAAGACTAGTTTAGTTATAGTCTTAGACTATAAGAGTATAACTATACGATATCTGAGATAGAAGCAGGGTAATTGCAGGGTTTAGGAAAATAGAAGAAATATATTAAGTTTTATATAAGTTTAATTACTTAAAGTTAAAGACCTAAAGTTAATATTAAATATATTTAATTTATTTTAATAATATATTTACTTTTTAACTAAGTATTATAAATACTAACTATTAGTCTCTAAATAACTAAATTAACTTTCTTTTTAATTTCCTTAAAGGAATACTATGCCTAATTTACCTATTATACTTATATATATTATTTAACTTAAATACCTTTTATATTATAACCCTAGCAGTTCTATTATATATATCCTACATTTTCTACTAATTACTATATCCTCTACTAGAAACAATTAGCACTAAGACTTTATAATTAAAGCTAATCTACTATAATTACTATTAATATATCTAGATTATTAACCCCTTAATAACCTAACTAATTACCAAAAAATATACTTAATATATAAATTATATTTA